TCACCTTCCCAGCGGCTGAGGGAATGAGAAGAGAATTGAGGCGAGAGAGCGCTACAGATGAGAGAGCGCCAGACAACAGCCTGATAAGAAGAAAATCTGCAGCTTCAGCAGCTTACTTTGCAAGGCCCAAGCGCTCTTGTCGGTTGGTTTCCGTGCACGGGAACGCCACATTTGTGATTGTCCTCTAGGGGTCTATACTACAGACCGAAGGGAAGCGTTCACACGACCTCTGCCTGGGTTGTGCCTTTAAGTACTGCATTTGTATTCTGTATAAAAATCTAAATCAAACTTTGATCCCCATACAAGGTACTCAAATCCCGTTTAAAAAATTACATTTGCAATGTTTTCCTTTTAGCGAATTTCGTGCGCCGCAAGTACAAGAATACAACAACATGAAATATTACATATGTGAGAGTGGCCAAAAAGAGACACTTTGCTCATGGCGCACAACATCAAACTTCTCGTCTATTTGTGGTCGTTTAATTCAAAATTGTAGCTTTTAATTTGTCGCTTAAATGTCTTATAAGTAGAATCAACGCTGCTCTCACCGTACTCAAAATATGACGTCATCTTCCATCATCGTTGAGCTCAAGGAGGTCTACCGTAATCGCTTTAGCATGAAGCTGCTACAGAATTTCTTTAGCAAGTTCACTGACAGTTTGCTCGCTAGGGACGTTAGTTCTAAATGTGCAAGACCCCTGTCGGTGAGCTATTAAATAACGTCATGATTCATGGTCGTCGAGGACCAGTTGAGCTGAATCGTGTACAATTTTCCCATGGCTATTTCTTATGAAGTGCTTAGTGCAGAAAGCTGTTGTGAAGCTCATTGATAGATAGGGAAGTGCTCTTAAATATTAATTTGGGAGCAGTTGGTTTGAATTTATCGCAGTGTGATTAATGCCGTCTGAAATGTGGAGTGAAGTGTTTTTGCCACCCCTGTATATGTTAAAGACTTTCTAATCGAACCCTTTTTGGAAAGTGCCACGAATTTCATCCTAACAAAATTCATGGTATTTTCCAGCCTCATTCTTGAAAGCTCAGCATGGGTTGCTCTCGCATGCGTCATTTGTAGGTACCCTCCGAGTCTGAGAAGCCGCGGCAGACAAGGGCAACTGGACCTTCACATTGTATTGCATACGTTCACAATACACGTTAACTCCTCACGGAAAATTTTCGCACTGATTACCAGCCTCGGAGGGATGGAGGGCTTGGCTAACCAGTGCAGAATTCAATCTGTCCCCTAAACCCTGTTCCACGTGATATAGAGAACACCTCGGTGAGGCCACACATTCCACCTCGGACGTCATATAGTTGGAATAACCAGAGATCGGAGTGCTCGGTGGTCAGAACGTGGCACATGAACTGTTCTCCGGCATATGCAAACCTCATAAACCAATCGGATTTCAAATATGCAAATCATAACAAACCCTGAAAATATTTTGACCACAAGTAGCCTTTTAGATAAATATTTTGAATTCGACTAGCTTCCGTCACCCATGTTTATCGTTGAGCGAGGGTCGGCACAGATCATTCGGAAACAAATATGAGATATACCAGTATAATTTTGTTGCATCGCATTTTAATGGCATTTCACTTAATGTGCTGCCTTCGTTCAGTGGCACCATCTGGTTGGCTACGGTATTTGTTTATAATCTTTGCATAAGAGGAACGAAAACAGAAAGTCGCACCGTACTTCATTGTTTACGGAGCAGTCATTCAGTTGAAATGGCGGGATTTCCAAGGCAAAAAACCAGAGTCAAGAGTGCGTTGCGAAATCCTCTGCGAGGAGGTTTTATTGGATCCGAAGGGAGGGGAGACGAGAGGGGATCGTAAATGCTACATAAATGTAGACGTCAGCAGTGAACAGAGCAGCTGTAGCCATTTAAATCTTACTTTACAAGTTCTGCTTTATTGCAAAGCGGATTCCATCGTTTTTTTCTGTTAATTATAGAATCATTTAGGGAATAGGTAATGATCAAGTAATAAAGCCAAGTAAAGTGATCAGTAAAGTATGATAAGGAGCAAAAAGCACCTCCTCGTCTTACAACTAACGGACCTTTTAATAACTAAGTACATTCAACCAACATCTGTAAGAGGAACTTTTTTCCATTCAAACTCTAACTTCTCTTGCGCTAGCAGTAATAAAGGAAAGGATAAAGCATTTGCCGTTGATCAATCCCTTTTTGGGATGCGGCACGCATTCTACTTCCATTTGTACATTCGCAGTGGCGTTTGAATGCGATGTGGCCTATACAATGACTTGCGGGGGCCAGCCGCGTATGCGCAAATTCCCAAATTTTTACGACCCCCTTCCTTTTCGGGGGTATCGGTACGACCCCCCCCCATATTAACTATCATGTCTTTCACATAATTTAATGCTCATCAATGCTCATCAATGATGGCAGTCACCAACATGGAGAAGTGGTGGACCGTGGTCAATCCGCGCGCTTTGTCTCGCTCAGAGGAGGAAATCGAGGCAAATGAAGTTTTATTCATTAAATAGAAGGAATTTCAAATTTTTGCGTAAACCAATACATCATTTTAATCGTAAAGATTTCTACTTTCAGAAACCCACCAGGATTTTTTCGATCTCTCAACTTTCCTTACCTTATAATCTGAAAAACTAAACCTTGTAGCAATTACATTGCAATCCAAACCCCTCCATTCAGAAGGTTATATTTTCTTTCAGAAGCTGTTTCATGAAATCGGACACCAAAATTTTGAAAATATAAATAGTTTTCTTCCTGAGGAGTATTTGAAATGTTGTGGATGTTCAATATTTCAAAAAATCGTCCCGTTGTTCCGTTTTCTGTGCACACGCGAGTTTTTGACATTCAAACATTCATAACTTTCTTCATAATCAACTTTTTGCAAATGTCTAAGGCTAATTAGAAACTAGAAGATTAGAGCTTTCGAACAAGCACCTGAAAATTTTCCAGCGATCATTTTTTCAAAAAATAGTCCCGTTGTTCCGTTCTTGGGTGGTTTGGGGTCCGATTTTTGAGAAGGCGCGAGTTTTCGACATTCAAACGTTAATAACTTTCTTCATACTCAACATTTTGCAGATGTCTAAGGCTAATTAGAAACTAGAGGATTAGAGCTTTCGAATAAGTGCTAAAACTTCTTGAAATAATCACTCGCTCAAAAAATAGTCCCGTTGTTCCGTCAATTCCACCTTGATTTTTTTCAAGCCTTTTTCCTGGACCGCGACTATGCAGTCTTTAAAGGCCCATAACTTCCTTTGAATTAATGTGATGAGAAGCGGTAAAGATTGTTGGAATCCACTCGAAGAGTACTTCATAACAACTCCTGAAATTCCTTCTTCT